CCCTGAACCCTAAACCCTCGATCCTACAGGTCTGGAGACGACAGAAGGCAAATATCCCGAAGCCTTAAAAACCCCGAACTTCCAGAAGCTGCTACACTCCTCCCTTCAAGACACAAAGGGCTTAGGATTTAGGGCTTTGGGTTTACGGGGTTAAACCCTAAACCCTAAACCCTTCAAGACAAAAAAGGGCTTAGGATTTAGGGCTTTGAGTTTAGGGCGTTTAGGGTTTCTAGGGCTTAGGATTTAGGGCTTTGGGTTTAGGGCGTTTAGGGTTTCTAGGGTTTAGGGTCAGGAGGAAGGTCTATGCTGTACCCCAAATCCTAAACGGTTTAGGGCCGTCTGGGTTCCGGGTGAAACATGAGCGCAGCTTCACAAGCGCTAGCCTGCAATGACACACAGGCCTCACGAAATAGAACAGGGTTCAGAGTTAAGGGTTTGTGGTTCAAGAATTTAAACAAGATGGGCTTGTTTGGTATACTTCTACTAAGGAGACTAATAAATAGTACTGCTAACCATTCAGGCCCTAAATTACACCTATTCAGCTGCTTTGCTGTGAGGCTGTCTGGATTGCGTTTTTGTTGAATACCCTGATGAAGAGCGGCCCCTCTTTTCCTGCCAGGAAACAGTGTTGTAATTGATGTCCGTAGGCTGGAGGCTCCTATGCGAGCAGAGACGCATGAGTTGTGGCGAAGGCATCGGATTATGTAAGTAAGCCAGCTGAGTGTACTCATCTTAACATCCAGTATGTCCTCTCCGAGCGGTGATTTTTTCAAAGACTTCTGCGCATGGTGTCAACTTTGTGAGATTCAGTTTGATTTGAGTCTACGTGGGTGTTATCTGAGTTGAGTGATTTCTTATGAAGGAGCCTCTAATTGAGGAATCTTGTAATCATATTTGACCCATAAATGACCCTCGAGAGAAATCGCTACAGCCTGAGATCTACTTCTGCCCTTAGAGACTACGCAGTTCTTTTCGAAACAAACGAACGTGAGCTTGAATGGCTAGGGTTTAAGAGACTTCGCAGTTCTTTTTTAAGCAGACGAACCTGTAGACCTCTGAGAGGACCTTGATGCACGATCTTCATCACAAAATGCTGCTATCATGTAAGGGCCTATATTAGACTATTCAATCCGAAAGCACGTTTGACAGGAACCCCGAACATAGCTACAAGACTGTATGGACGGACAGGCGTTGGGAATGTGGTGGTACCGGGACGCCGAAACAACAGCAGTAAAACTGTACTGCTGCTGCTGCTGCTACCAAACCTACCCTCCCTGATCCGGCTCCTCCTCCTCCTACTACTACTACTACTACTACTACTACTACTAACTACTACTAAACTAGGTTTACTACGACGACGACTACCACTACTAGCACCGAATGAACTTCGCGACTGCAACGGTGTTGAACTACTACAATTATCAATGCTAACAGCTAACAGTGTGGTGTTTTCTGCGGTAGCTCACGAAGAACTGCCGGCCACCATCCTACACCCTAAAGCCCTCAACCCTAAAACCCGAAACCCCTGAACCCTTTACCCTCAAACCCTAAACCCCAAACCCTGAAAAACCCACCATGACACAGACCCACCGAAATAAAAATACCCTAACCCTAAACCCTAAACCCTGCCTCTGCAACATCGAGTCCAGGACCTCCTTTGCCCGCCTCGTTCGCGGAGCAGCGCAGGGGGCGCTTTCGGGGCTTAGGGTTGTGGGGCTTAGGGTTTAGGGTGTAGGGCTTCGGGATTAGGGTGTAGGGCTTAGGGTTTAGGGTTCAGGGCTCAACACAACATTGAAAAGTCAAACTAGTTGGAGAACTATATGATGTGAGGAGTAAAGCTTCACGAAGTTCTTGTCGGTTTGTGTCTGTGTTGACAGGTTTTCTCTGGCTTTCACCGGTCGCGTGCGGTGCGAGGTGTTTATGTCGCTTGACACTCCGAAAGTACGTTCATAAGGAAACAGACTGATGTAGGGGCCTTCATAATTTATAAACTTGGTTCTCGGGTGTAGATTACAAATCATACTTTTTAAGGGTCCATGTACCCAAATAGTAGAACATTGGCCCTAAAGTACCCATATAGGGACTACATGAAGGCCAATGTTCTACTATTTGGGTACATGGATTCTTCGGGACTGTAGTTATAGGAGGAGCCCCAAGGAATAGTATTGGTATCTAGAAGAGGAGCCCTGCATCGGGCTCTAACTCAAACCATTGCCGGCAGTGATCTGAACATCCCCGCAAGACACTATTCTTAGGGGTTTAGGGGTTTAGGGTTTAAGGGTTTAGGGTTAAAGTAGGGTTTTTTCCAACCGGTTGGTCAAGTCTTCCTGCTAGCCTGTCCCAATCTGTCCCAA